ACACTCCTCTTTGTCTGCAGAAAGTGCCCGTGTCTCTCTTTAGACATCTTCTCCCATCATCCTTTCGATAGTCTCCCCGTCCATCCTAGGCCTTTGCTGGGTTTCAGGCCCCGGAGAGCTGGATATTATCCCTAGTTTTCTTACTAATCAACTGTACTTTTTAAATATACACAAATGCACAGAGCAGCCAATTCTCCCCTGATGGAGCCCAGGGCTCTGGAGTTCTCCTCCCGCTTTGGGAAGGGCCCTTAATTGCTGTTTACTCCTTACAGCTGGATAAATAGCCCAGAAGCCAGGCAGGCTTCTCCCCAGCCTGTTTGCATCCAGATGCCACTTCTCCCCCAGAGGCTGAGTGACCCCCCGGGACGGCCCAGAGCTGGGTTATAACCAGTGCCCAGCCCTGTGCTGGCTCTCGGCGCCGGACGCTGCTGCAGACGCTGGGCTGAGAGAGGTGCGGGACGCGGCTGCCTGAGGGGGTTCCCAGGGAAGACACGTCCCTCTCAGCACTCACAGGTACCTGTACCCAGAAAGAGGGCCCTGAGCCCCCATATGGCTGCATTTCAGTGGCACTGGGGATCCTCCTGGTAGATGCACGATACAAGGCCAGATTCTGAGGCCATGGCCAGTGCTTTGCTCAGGCCTCACGAAAGCAACACGCCCCTTTGAGTAAGAGCCGAGTAAAGAGCTCAGGAGCCAGCGGTGTGTTCATTTGCAGACACCATCGACTCCTCCTCTTTCCTCTCAGGGCTCTGGCTTCTCTCGGGGGCAGGTGCGGGGCTTGTGCTCTGACATTTATTGTCTGCAAGGCATGGAGGCGCTTGGGGTCCTCACAGGAACAACTGTGAGAATTTTGAACCTGAAAAGACGTCATTTCTATGGCCTCATTTGAGAGGTGGGCCGAGCAGTAATGCCTGAAACGTGCAGTAACAATTCACCCGGCAGCAGACTTGTCTTGTAAACAATGGACAAGGAAGTCTTTGCTTTCAAGCTGTCTGACCATCAGCCCCACCTGCATTGCCCCATCCAGCTGGGAGTGCCATTCAGCTCTACTCCTTGCTTCTGGGTCAGGAAACGTCTCCCGTTTCTTCACCTCTGCTCCCATCACTTGTGTTGCACCCCGCGGGCTGTGGTTAATCACCTTTGGGTCATCTCCAGTTGTTTAACGTCCTTCTTATGCACTGGTGACCTAAATGGTTTGCTGTACTCCAGCAGAGTCATGGCCAACACTGAGTACAGGAAAAGCATCACTTCCCATCACTGGGCCTCTGTTAATACAATCCCCAACTGCATTTCAGGTGTTTGCAATTGCGACAAATTCCACGCCCTTGAGAGCTGTAGCTATACCAACACCATTCGTGTGTTGGCAGCATGGGGTCAAAGGAACCCACCGAACTCCCGCCTCTCGGGGAAGTGGGTTAGCTGTGCTGATGGGACAACTCCTGTCACCGGCGTCTATAGTGTGTGTAGTGACCTGCTGTGACAACTCCACGGGAGGGTTTCAAGCAGAGACAAACCCTCAGGCAGATCTTCCAGAAAAGCCTCCACTCTGGTCCTGCAGCCATGGGGAGTTGGAGAATCCACCACTTCCCCTTGCAGTTTCTCCCAAATTTTAATCGCTCTCACTGCTAAATATTTGTCCCTTCTTTCTAGCCGGAATTTGCCTGGTCTCAAGTTCCGGCCACTGGGTCCTACACAGCGCATTTTTACCCATGGTTTTCACCTTATGAGACTATTGCTGTGGGTTAATCCAAGCACATGGGGCTCTTCCCTTTGCTTACTGTTCAACATTTTTTCCAACCTCAGATCATTTTGTAGCCCTTTTGTGCGCCCTCTCCACTATGTTCATATCCTTTTTGAAAGAGTTTCCACCACTGCCATCTGCAGAGTTAAATTCCTTCCCCTGCTCCAACTCAACACTCCCACATTTGGAAAGCCAAGGGTCGGATCAACCCTTTGGCCCCAGTATTGTACTAGAAGCTCACAGTGAGTTGATCGTCTATAGTGACCCCTAGATGCTTTACAGGGTCTCTCTGTGCCTAGGTCTGTGGGTTTGGGCTGCTTTCCCTGTTCTGAGAGGATACATTTATATCTGAGTGTATTCAATCATTGCTATCCATGGGCTGAGCTCATCAAACGGTCCATATCGAAAGGTACCTCGGCCCAGGCTGCCTCCAGATTGTTCATGAAATTATTCCACAGCATGGAGCCAAGAACGAATCCTTTCAGATCAGTCCTTTCAGGGCACCTCCATTCCATGACAATGGCCCATGGACAATTCCTTCCTCACATCACTTAGCCGGTTATTATCCCAACTGGTGCTATTACAGAGTATTCATCTGTTTCTGAATGTTGCCCCTGCAGAATCAAACGTTTCTGAGAAATAAACGATTATCGGATCTGTCCCGTTCCCTTGCTCACCAGACATGTTCTGTCACTGAAGGACGATTTGGGGCTCGTTTCACAAGTCCTGATTTCCAATACGCCATGTTGCTGTCTGGCATTTATTATATTGCTGGAGTTTTTTAATTAAGCCCTTACCAGCTTTTCTGGAGTTTCCTAACCCTGTCAAATCATTCTTACGAACATTTCCCATTTTGAGCACTGGATGTCTGGCTCAGACCTGTCCTTTACTTGTCTTTTCTTTCATTTTTTTTAATTTGAGCTCTGTTGCTGCTTGTTTTGGAACGTCTGGTCCTGAATGCGCTGTGTGTGGATCAGTTAGTGCACCGCTCCGGTGTTCATAATGCTGCGGTGCCACTGTGCTTGCTGTTAACATCCTCCTTGAACTGCTAATCGACAGGAAATTATTTCTTCGCCTGGAATGATAGATGCATCTCGCATTGCTTCTTCCCAAGTGCAGAACACAAGAAAAGAACAGAGAAAAGCGCCAGTCTAGACGGGATCTTGCGGAAAATAAGCCCTTTTCCGGAAGATCCTTTATTCCTACTGAAAGGGCTTATTTTCCTCAAGATCCCATCTAGACTGGCGCTTTTCTCCGGCAAAACCCCAAGCCGGAAAAAAGCGGCAGCCCTGTTTATTTAAATCCCACGGGGGATATTTACTGGTCTCATTAGCATCCCTTTTCCGGAAAGGGGTGCCAATGTAGACACAGCCTACTTCTTGAGCACATCCGCCTTTTAGCTACTAAAGAAATTTCCTTTCTCCCACTAGAAATTGACAGAAACCTTCTGGGATATCTTCTGTTCTTAAATGCTTATTAGTCTCCTTTGTATGATCTTTAAAGCTGTCAAATAGCAGGGAGAAAAATTACATCTTTCAGCTATTGGAACAGGACAAGGAGCAAGGGGCTGAAACTGCAACTAGGCGGGGTTAGGTTGGACATTAGGAAAAACTTTCTAAAAGTCAGGGTGGTTAAACACTGGAATAAATTGTCTAGGGAGGTTGTGGAATCTCTGTCACTGGAAATATTTAAGAGCAGGGTGGATAGACACCTGTCAGAGACGATTTAAATGGTGCTGGTTCCTGCCATGAGTGCAGGGGACTGGACTCATTGACCTCTCGAGGTCCCTTCCGGTTCTATGATTCTTTGAGATTCTTTATGATTCTTGGGAACTTTCTTTTCTGGTCCGTTTGAACGTAACCGGTTCCCTTCTTTATTTTCCTCCCCTTTGCCGCATTCCTCCTCCCTTGTCTCTTCCCTAAGCCAAAGAGTCCAGAGTTCTCAACGGGTCTACATAGCGCAGCACCCCCTAGTCTCATAGCCTGTCTGGGAAACTCCCATTATGTACTGCAGCTTGAACCTCCATTAACCGGGACTCCCTGACTGACCATGGATGTTCCAGGAGCAGATGTTCCTGGTGGAAGGCTAAAGCCTGAGATCCCTGCAGCTGATCTGTCCGGTGTGCTGCCTCTGGGCTGGGAGTGTGCTGTGGTGGGGCTGACCAGCGTGGCTAGGAGCCTGGTGCACAGGGAGTTGGTCTGGAGCTGGGCTGCCCAGCATAGCAGGGAAAGGCCTGTGGAGATCAGCCGGACAGCGAGGCTGGTGACAAGGGGGATCCAGCCAGGAAGCCACAGCTGGTCCTGAGCTAGGGGGTGTGAAAGTAGAAAGAATTATACTGTAAGAGAGAGATGAATTATGCTGTAATAATTGAATAAGTTGAAGGAACACTGTTCGTCTCTGAACAGGAAGAAGAAAAGTATGTGAATGTTGTTTGTAGGAATGCAGATTCCAGAGTGCTAGCCAGAGTTAATAGGAAAAGGAACATTAGGTGTTAGGGAGAAAGCAATTGAGAACCAAGTAGATATGGACAGGAGATTGCTGTGTGCTTGATGTGGAAATGAAGATACTTGACCCAGTCTCACACTAATCATGTGAAGTTTTGCCCCTCCTTTTAATCCTGTTAATTTGACTTTCCTTTGACTGTATAAATCAAGGGGGTTGAACCTTGTATGGTGCTCACATTTTCTGGATGCATTTTAGCAGAGCTTTGCTAAAATAAACAGAGCGGTCTGACAAATCTGTGAGTCCTGTCTGACTTTGACAGGGGCCAGATACAATCTCCCATGGTCCAGAAAAATCCCTTATCCTAGAGGGTCCTGGACCAGCGAAGTCCAACCCGCACATCCTTTGTAGAGCCTGGGTGAGCAAAACTGAGCACACGTCCAGGGCAGGTTATTCTCCATCCCGTTGCTTAGGCATCCAAAAATGGTCTTTGTTTTGGCCACTGCTGTGAATAAGGGATATTCAGAACCCACATTCATGTTCCCTGCAGGTACTTACTGAGGCATGACACCGTGTGACAGAGGAATTTTTGAGACATAGGGCACCATTAAATATGGATTTGCTGCTACTAAGGTCATTTGTCCATTGCTACTTTCCACAAATACAGAAAATGCTTGTTTTCAGTGTGTGGAAAGTAACCTCTTTGCTTCACCCATGAGAACAACCTGCAGTAGTGCATGTCATGTCTCACATTCCCATTTTCTCTCCATCCATGCAAGGGACTCCATTCTTCCTCAAGGTTGGACACCTTCTCCACTACTCCATGTCAGACTCCAACACAACCGACTTCACCAACCCCTCCACCTTCATCCTGCAGGGCATCCCTGGCCTGGAGGCGGCCTATGTCTGGATCTCCATCCCTTTTGGAGCCATCTACGCTACAGCCCTCATGGGCAACTTCACCATCCTCTTCATTGTGAAGATGGAGCCAAGCCTCCACCAGCCCATGTACTATTTCCTCTGCATGCTGGCCATCACCGACCTGGTCTTATGTACATCTACCCTGCCCAAAATGCTGAGCATCTTCTGCTTCAATTCGAGGCAGATCAGTTTCAGTGCCTGCCTCACCCAGATGTTCTTCCTTCACTGCTTTTCCATCCTGGAGTCTGGGATCCTCGTGGCCATGGCGTTCGATCGCTATGTGGCCATCTGTCACCCTCTCAGACATTCCATCATTCTGAGAAACTCCATTTTGTTCAAGTTTAGCCTGGCCTTGTTGCTGCGCAGCACCATGCTCATACTGCCCTTTACTTTACTGGCAAGGCAGTGGCCATATTGCAGGTCCAACATCATCCCCCACACGCACTGCGAGCACATGGCTGTGGTGAAGCTGGCCTGTGCCGACATCCGTGTCAGCAGCTACTACGGCCTCTTTGTGGCACTTTCTGTGATGTGTCTGGATATGGTTCTAATTGCCCTGTCCTACACCCAGATCCTCAGGGCCATCTTCCGCCTCCCCACAAAGGACGCCCGGCTCAAGACTTTTGGGACCTGCAGCTCCCACCTCTGTGTCATCTTGGCCTTTAATATCCCACGTCTCTTCTCCTTCCTCACACAGCGATTTGGCAACAACGTGCCCCTGCATTTCCACATTTTCATTGCCAACGTGTACCTCCTGGTGCCCCCCATGCTCAACCCCATCATCTATGGGGTGAGGACCAAGGAGATCCGGGACAGGCTGCTCCGGCTGTTTACTCACAAATGGACCTAAAGTTTTGTCCTGGTTCTCAGGCTTTCAGACCAAACTCCGTGTGGACCTGCTTGTAACATGGTGCCTGGGCCTTCTGCTCAGAATCACTTATGGGGCTCTCAAAGAGTCATTCAATCCTCTACTGACCTTACTGTGCTGGGTGAGTGTGACCAGTTGGAGAATAGGTCTGATTCATTAACTCAGACCCTTGCCAGCCTTCAAATTGCTGGTAACTGGGCCCTGAGGCCCTGGCCCTTTTCAAGAGCGGAACAGGATGCCCAAAGCCATGTAAAAGCAGCTGAGAGTTAGGAGCTGGGTTGTGTGGGAGACCAGTGAGTCTGAGTCTCATACAGTTTGTGGGCCCCACAGCTCAGCTACAAAGCCCTAAAGGCAGAGACCTTTGTGTGGCTCATTTGTTTAGCTCTAACACACATGGAATGGGCCCAGTTACCCAGGGCTAATTACTTTTTCACATGTCTCTAAAGGTTGAATGTGAGGCAATTAGCCTGCAAAGGTATTGAACCTTGTCTGACCATGTGTCACACAAGCCCTTTGGCAAGGCCTAGATCTGTTTGCTTTAACCATCCTGTGCCCTGAAAGAGAAAAAGTGGAAACAGAGTGTGCCCAAGAGGGACTGGTGGGAAAGGTCTGCTGAAGCAATTGGAAAGTCTCAGGGAGTCGAGCCAAAGCTCGTTTCAGGCACAGGGAAGTATTGGGATACAGAGGTGCAGGCCTACTTGTACTGGCTGATACTCAAAGCGTTCAGGTGTATTCTCACCAGTCAGCTAACTACCGGGGTATAAAAAGAGTCAAACTCAGTCTGCCTGGCTACGTCTACACTGGCATGATTTTCCGAAAATGCTTTTAACGGAAAAGTTTTCTGTTAAAAGCATTTTTGTAAAAGCACGTCTAGATTGGCAGGATGCTTTTCCGCAAAAGCACTTTTTGCAGAAAAGCGTCTATGGCCAATCTAGACGTGGTTTTCCGCAAAAAAGCCCCAATCACCATTTTCGCGATCGGGGCTTTTTTGCGGAAAACAGTACTATGCTGTCTACACTGGCCCTTTTGCGCAAAAGTCTTTCAGAAAAAGACTTTTGCCTGAACGGGAGCAGCATAGTATTTCTGGAAAAGCACTGACGATCTTACATGAGATCGTCAGTGCTTTTCCAGAAATTCAAGTGGCCAGTGTAGACAGCTGGCAAGTTTTCCCGGAAAAGCTGCTGATTTTCCGGAAAAACTTGCCAGTCTAGACACAGCCCCAGTGTATGTGTCTTCTCCCATGGACAGTCTGAGGTCATTTTCTTGAAGTCTTTGACTAACCAGCAGGTGCAGATGTAAACTGGAAAACATACGGTCCCATCCTCACCTCCCGCCCCAACCAGTCCCAATGAAATAAGGCAATTCTGGACTGGAAGAAAGGCACGCTCATCTTTCTCCTGCAGAGAAAGGGAAGAGCCTAGAATTTTTGAAGAAAACTTAGGTTGAGAACCCACCCAGCAAGGACCCACCGATTAGTAGTTGGGCTTGTGAAATCCCCATTTCTCTACTTTTTTGTCTTTATGCTCCTCACATATCTGTATAGTCTCTGTCCGGTTCTTGATTGTGTCTGTCCACTGTATAATTCACTGCTGGGGAGTAAACAAAGGAAGGTGGTGGGATATTAATGGTTAGATGATCATGTTACAATCTGTGAGGGTTGGTTAATTAAATCTCAGGGAAATGGTTGGTTATGGTGTAGCTGAGAATATTTCCATATAAATTGGGGGCAAATGGGAAGCAAGTCGGGAAAAGGGAACAAGGGAAAAAAGGGGGGGGGAGTAAATTAGATTCCTCCTTGCTAGGCACACACCCCAATAAACATGAAATTCTCTGCTTCTCCGAACTTCGGGTATTGTCGTTCTCCATTCACGCGGGAAGGACCAGGGAAACGGGAGGGAAAAGGCAGAAGGTCTCTAACAGGAGGGGCTAGAACAGACATGGGAGCAAGAACAGGCCTAGAAATGTAGATCCAGGGGCAAGGCCTGTCACTGCTCTGACTCAAGGAATGATCCAGCTGGGATCTGTTAAGGAAATGCCTTCTGAGCTAGGCAGTGCCCCGGGCTGGTTTGGGTCAGGGAGAGGATTCGTCTCAGCCCTGGAAAGTGCCTCCCGGAATGGCAGAGCAGGGAGTCCCTGTTCTAGTGGGTTTGTCCCCTCTCTCAGTCTTCATGCCCTGTGGCCCCTCTCGCTCTGAAACTCATCCTTCCCTCCCACACATGCCTCCCTCTCTTTGCCATGCCTAGCGTGCCTCCCCCCCTAGCAACTAGTGAGAAATGCACAAGGGGCTGCTCTTCCGTCCATTTCAGCGGCAATTGTGGGTCAGACCAAAGGTCCATCTAGCCCAGTGTCCTGTCTGCCCTCAGTGGCCAGCGCCAGGTACCCCAGAGGGAGTGATCGGAACAGGGAACTATCCAGTGATCCCTTCCCTGTCGCCCATTCCCAGACTGGCAAACAAAAGCTACAGACACCCCATACCTGCACATCCTGACTCCTGGTCATTGATGGATCTAATCTCCATGAATTTATCTAGCTCCATTTTTAACCCTGTTTGGGTATGTCTACACAGCAGGGCACAAGTCAAATTAAGCTAGGCAACTTCAGCTACATCAACTGTGTAGCTGAAGTCGAAATAGCATAATTCAGCTTTTGGCTACACAGCAGGAAGTCAATGGAAGAACACTCTTCCTTCGACTTCCCTTACTCCTTGTGAAATGAGGGTTACAGGAGTCGGAGGAAGAAGTTCTCTAGCTCGACAATATTTCGAAACAATGGCTTGCTGTGTACACGCTCAATATGTTATTCCAAAATAACGCTGTTGCGCACACGTATCCTTGAAGTCCTTGTCTTCACATTCTCCAGCCAGGAGTTCAACAGGCTGATTGGTGTTAGATGTACTTCCTTGTGTTTGTTTAAAACCTGCTACGAATTAATTTCAGTGGTGACTGCTAGTTCTTATGTTATGGGAAGGTGTGAATAACTCTTCTTTGTTCACTTTATGCAAACCTGTCATGATTTTATAGGCTTTTATCATTCCCCCCTTTGTCATCTCTTTTCCAAGCTCAAAGGGACCCCAGTTTATTAATCCTCATATGGAAGCTAGTCCAAACCCTTACTCATTTATTGCCCTTTTCTGAAGCTATTCCATTGCCAAGATAACTTGGAGAAGAGGCAACCACATCTGTATGCAGTATTCCCGATGTGGGTGTACCATGGACTTATACAGAGGCAATAAGATATTGTCTCTTATTCTCTCTCTCTTTTTAGTGATACCTAACATTCTGTTTGTGTTTTGACTGCTGCTGCACACTGAATGGATGTTTTCAGAGAATTTTCCACAATGACTCCAAGATCTCTCTGTCTTGAGTGGCAACATCTAATTCATTCCCTATCATACGTAGAGTTGGGATTATGTTTTCCAATGTGCATTACTTTGAATTTATCAGTGTTAAAATTCATCTGCCATTTTGTTTCTCAGTCACCTATTTTTGTGAGATCTTTTTGAAGCTCTTCACAGTCTGCTTTGGACTTAACTATCTTGAGCAGTTTTGCATCATCTGCAAATTTTGCCACCTCGCTGTTTACTCCTTTCTCCAGAGCATTTAGGAATATGTTGAATAGGACTGTTCCCAATATAGACCCCTGAGGAACGTGACTAGTTACCTCTCTCCATTCTGAAAATTGACCTACCCATTGTTTCCTAACTTTTAACCAGTTACCAATCCACGAAAGGACCTTAACTTTTATCCCATGACAACTTACTTTACTTAAGAGCCTTTGCTGAGGGACCTTTCTGGAAACCTAATACACTTCTACAACCAGCTAGACACCATTTTGGGGGTTGGCCTGGCCAGGGTCCCCGGCGTGGTTGTGAAAGGGGGAGCCCTCTACCATGATCTTGACCAATCATGTCTCATAGACCTCAGTTTCCTTGTCTGTATAATGGGTTTGTGTTAATAGTGATTTTCCTGTACAAGGTCATTTTCCCTATCCCTTCACCTAGCATCTGTGTGGGGAATATGCCCAAGAGACATAGGGTATGTCAACACTACCCCGCTAGTTCGAACTAGCGGGGTAATGTATACATACCGCACTTGCTAATGAAGCCCGGGATTTGAATTTCCCGGGCTTCATTAGCATAAGCGGGGAGCCACCATTTTTAAATCCCCGCTGCTTCGAACCCCGTGCAGCGCGGCTACACGGGGCTCGAACTA